GTTATCGTCGTCGACCAAGCGGGGCGGGGCGGGGTGGGGCGGGGTGTGGCAGTCAGGTGGGACATAATTTACATCCGGCGGTCCGGCACGCGCCCAGATCATCGGCTTATCTCGCACATGCCCGCGCCGTGTTATGCTGACTCACCGGCCGCGGCCAACACCAGCACCGCCTCGCCGCGGCGGCCGCCGCAGACGTCATCGTGCCGGTCCCGGTCATCATCGTCGTCGCTGTCCTCGTCACCGCCGGGGTCCACCACTCCTGCGATAAACAAGAACAGCAAAAATGAAAGCAAACAGTTCGTCATAGACACTGACCTGCGCGCGATCCCCGCGCAGCCCCCGCCGCCACGGTGCCCGCCTCATCGCTATGCACACACACAGTGTTTTATTCAAATGGCACACGCCGGTCACTGGGCAGGAGTAGTATGCAGAACACGGTGCGCTACACGCGTTGTAACGGGCGGGAGCAGACCAGGGCGCTCGCGCGCCGCAGGACACACCGTGCCGGGGTTCGCGGTCGAGAGGAGCTCTATGCTCCGCGGAAAGGGAAATGATGGATAGAAACGTCTCCAAAATGTAACGAACTGTCGTGATTTGGGTCACAGTTGTCGCGGTTCGGTTTTTTGTTGTTTCTCCTGCTGCAGAGCACCTCCTCCCCTCCTTGCTATATAGCCTCTCGCCTTTTACTTCCTGGAAGAGGTTAAGCAGCAGCAGTGGCGGATGATCGTCTCCCACGGCCTACTATGGTAGGCCCCTTCATTATTACGTGGAGGGAACGTGAGTCATCTTCTCTGTTTGGGAAATATCTCTAGACTTGCCTCATATCGATACGCTCCCGAACGAGATGACGCCGGGTTAATTTAATATTCAGCGCGCCGCGCACAAGATGCCCCGGGCCGATAGCCTCCAGCAGCGGGACGCTCCAGCAGCAGGTGCCCCCGGGGGCGGGGCCGCCCCGGCCGTAGCGCCCGCCACCACCGGGATGAGAAATGTACGCTATGATGGTATTGGGGCAATTTTCGAGAGGATAACCGAACAACAACAACAACACGTATACCCAAACGAGAAACACGCCTCCTCCTTTCTGGTATGGGCAAAGAGGAAGATGGAACGTATTTGATCAGAAAACGCAACAAAACGCTTGCTTCACTTTTTACTGAGAAAATAACGCAGTCGGTTGCGTTCTTTATTTTTCTTTTCTTTTTTTGAGAGAAGGAGAGAAGGGTGGAGGGGGGGGGAGGACCATGCTGCTGCTGCTGGGCAGCGATGATGTCGCTGGAGACATTAACGCACGGACGGACGGGCAAAGTGGGGCAAATGCAGCGGACGAGGCAGAGGTGGGGGCGGCAGGAGGCGGCGAGAGGCGGCGAGAGGCGGCGAGAGGCGGCGAGAGGCG